TTTGATTTTAACACAGCCATAATGTGATGCACCTATGAATTTTCTGGAAGTATCGAAATATTTTACTTTATTATATCAGGTTTCATATAGAGAACCTTCACATATATAACATTTTCTGACAGAGTTATGTGTTCGCCAATCACGTTCTGTCATTTTTATTTTTTCTGGATTGCGCAACTTTGGCTTGATAATTTTTTCCAAGTCTCGTTGCATGCTTTCCCATGACTCTGCAATTGAGTTTGGAGTTCGCCTAACAATTTCTTTTGCAAGCTTCCCATCTGTTTGGATTAATGCATAGCTATAACTATTAGGCTTCTGCTTCTATAGTTTAACGGTCTTTTCATTAATAATGTTATTCTCTACTGGATCACTATCTGCTTCGAGATCTTTAACAAAATAAAATGGTATGTTTTCCATTGCCTTATAATTTTCGAATTTCATAATGTGCCTACCTTTTTCTGGAAAGATTTCTCTTTGCCCAGCATTAGGATTATTTCGACCGTGGCAATTGTACTTTATATGTTCTTCAAGTAGATCCTTTCTTGAAAATGGGGCAATCATACAGTGATGGCAGAAATATTTATACCCATGATGCTTATTCCAATTTCACATGATCCTATTCCATCCATTTTCACCATTAATGAGACATTAATGAGTATTTAATCCTGGAGAGATTTCATTAATATTACGGCGATCCCTCAAATCTTCCTCTCCTTCAGTAAATAAAATTAAATCCACCATATACTCTCTTTGATAATTATACTCCAATAAACAGAGTGGGTCCAACTTTCTAGTTGCTTGCTCTTTATCATTTTTTTCTGGCGCAGGATAGAACACATTTACTGCATAATTTGGATTATTTTCTTCGAATATATCGATATCACGTAATGTGGATGGAAAATTTATACCAAAGAAGTCTAGTATATTATTAAAGCGTTGTAGCCTACTAATATCATGAAGATTTCTTGCTCTTTGACCCTGTCTACAGGCCTCTTCACTTGCTAAATAAGCTTTTATACATGCTTCGAAACATCTTTCGTCTGTATTTTGAGGGTTAATTATCCCTAATTGAGGCTTGGCCCATATTTTTGGTAATGCAAAATAGGAACTGCCTTGGAGTGGTTGGTATGCACTTATTTCTAGAAAGATCTTTTTTCCATACTCATATATCCAACCTGAATGTTGATTCGCTCCATTTCATCGATTTTATCTAAGATTTCATTATACTGACGTGAAACTGTTTGGTTTATTCTATCCTAACGAATAATATCTAAAATTTCACTTGGAAATGCTATGTCTTGATCTATTCGATGCCCAAAATGCCCTCCTTGTGCAATCTGATACATATGAGCAATAAGAACTATTTTTATTTTAATACCCCCTAATTGAGCTAATTCTCTTCTATAAACATCACTAATTTGGTCTTCAACATTCTCGAACGTGGCTAAAGGATCTTCTCAATATGGATAAGTTTCTGGAATAATAGCAAGTTGATCGACACATAAACCTTGGTTAGAAATTCTTCTAGTTTCTACTAACCTGGATCTTCTATTCTTCAAAATATTAGTTTTTCTTCTTCAGATTTTGACTTGTTATCAGATTCAGATTCAGAATCTGATGTATCTCCTTCATCTGTGGTCTCATAGTCGCTTTCCCCTTCTTCCGACCCTTCTTCTGGTTCTGGTAGCTCGGAAGGTTCGGGTAACTCAGGTGGTGTTGGGTCTCCCCAGCTTGGTAAGAGATTTCTGAACAATCGTCCTAATACACCGGTGATAGTACTAAGTATTCCACTCATATTTTCCTAAAGATTATATATAGTTACAAAAAAGTTTAAAATAAAAATTAATTTATTCGGATAATTATAGTTACATATTTATTCAAAAAACAAACTAAT